CCCCGCGCCGCCCCTGCTGACCCTCGGCGTGAGGCCCGGCCCCGGACCGGCGCTGCCGGGGCTGACGGGGTCCCTGGGGGGCCCCGGCGATGACCTCGAGGACTACTACTCGACGTCCACTTCCTCCTCGGCGTCGCCCTCGTACGCGCCCTCGTCTTCGGGGCGGCCCCGGGGACGGCCCCGGCACGACTCCTGCTCCTGCTGGGCACCCGAAGGATCAGGTGCGTGTGTGTGTGCGTGTGTGAGAGTGTGTATGTGGGTGTGTAGGTGTGTGCGTGTGTGTGTGCGTCTGTGTGCGCGCGAGGAAGAGGATGCTCGTGGCGCCCATCCCCTTGCTCTCCCGCCCTTGTTCGCGTATTCCTCTCCGATTCCCCGGGACGTTAATGGGCCATCTGCGGTGAAGATAAGGACGGCAGCTTAGGAGGGAGGAGCGGAGGCCGTGCTGTTCTGCCTTGGTAGCTCCGGCGAGCCCCAGTCTTGGGAACGAACTTAAACGCTCCTGCCTCTTTTCTCAACCCTTAGACCTCCCCCCCCATCTCCCCTGCCCGTCGGCGCACGTCCTCCCTGGGAAGCATCTTATGCATAAATAATTAAGAAAAGCCCTTTCTCACTACTTAATACTACGCCCGTCCCGCCCGCACCCCGATCCCCGGCTACGTCTTTAAGCCGCGTTTCGCGGCGGGGAGATGCTAGATGCTTCAAGATATGCGTCCCTCCAAACCGCCGTCTCGGTCTCGGAATCAAGGTGTATATAAAAGGGGGAGGAGATGAAAGGCAGAGCAGACGAGGGAAATATTAATGAAAACGAACATGAACATTTTGTATTTTTTGATTGGATTTGGTTTTTAAAACTGCGATGAGAGTTGAAATTTCGTCGCATCCAGATTTTTCTGAATTGGTGTTTGTGGGGGTCCCGTTTGTGTTCCAACAGTTTTAAGTTTTTAAATGGTAGACAATAAGCTCAAAGAAGAGACAATAGCAGAAGTGCGAAGTTACTTTTAGGAATTAAATTATGTGTTTTCTGATGAAAGGGAGCGCCTGATGGATGGCGGATAGGCAACTCAATACACTGTTGTTGGGATGGTGGCCTATGCTCCGCTCGTCGGGCGCTCAGGGCTCGTAAGGCGGGGGCGGGAGGCAGGTTTGGTGCTGCTGCAGGTTGCAGCTGCATTGTCTAGTCGCCGGCGCCGTGCTTCTTCTAACAGCTGTTCTTGCGTTTGTCCCCCAGATGCTCGGCGCGCCTCTCGCCGTGCCTCCGCGCGCAGCCCCCCCGGCAGTGGACCTGCAGGGCCTGCGGCCCGCGGCACGGACGCGTGGCGGTGCCTGCTGCTGGCGGGCAGCGCCCTGGTGGCGCTGTCCCTGCTGCTCGCCGCCCTCGGCTCGGCCGACTGGCTGCGCGCCGAGGAGGTGCTCCGCGGCTCGGCGGCCGGCCAGGGCGGCCTGGGGGCCTTCAACGGGACTAGGACCGCCTCCAGGAGGACCGTGTCCGGGCTGTGGACCATCTGCCAGAGCAGCTCCGCCGGTGAGGATCAAGGACGAAGACGAGGCCTGCAGTCGTTTCCCTCCCTCCCTCCCTCCCTCCCTCCCTCC